TTAATTTTGTGCTCAAGCTCAATACCAAGACATAGTTTAGTTTTTCCAAGGTCTTTGACCTCAAACTCTTTCTTTAAATATTCATCCGCATTGGCTAACTCTTCAGGAGTGCCAATCAGGTTCATGTCATCTACATAAACTGCAATGATAGCAAATTTAGTTCCTGATCTTTTAATAAAAATGCATGGGCAAATTGGTTCATTTTTGTAGCCTTCCCAGATAAGGTATTCACTGAGTCTATGATACCACATGCGACCAGACTTCTTTAGTCTATACAATGATCTTTGTAATTTAATTGAGTGCAGCTCACGAGGAGCACCAGAGTTTGGCATTTTAAATTCATCGAGAATTTTCATATAAATATCAGAATCTAGTGAACCATATAGATAGGCCATTACGACGTCCGTCAGACGTATGTCAAGTCCCTCTTGGACGACCATATTTATATGAAAACGAAAAGTGATCGTATCCATCAGTGGTGAATACGTCTTATCATAATCAATCCCAGGTCATTGGGAGAAGCCTTGAGCAACAAGGTGGGATTTTTATCGTACAATTTCGTTGTTATTGTTTCTCTTACGGACGAATACTCATTTATACCCAACAGGCTTTACATTATCCAAAGTTTGAAAAATTTGCCCGAATTTTTCGTTTTTCTAAGGAAGCCAATTCAGATTTTATTGCTTCCCCCCACTTAGGCCAATCATTTATTTGGCGGCATTCCATTATGGAACGCGGTTCACTATCATAATCATCGTACATAATTTCTTGTGTAACCGAGAATGCAAAAAATATTATCGATGATTATCTCATTTCTATCCCATATTTCATTGGAATAACTTATGGGATTCTCGGTATTCCCGGGATTTGCTATCACTTTTTCGATATCAGGCTCAACAGATTCATCTAGAGCATTCTCACTAGCAACCACTAGGTTCGAGGGTTCATCGATTTTTCCCTTTCTTTGTCTAGGAACAACGTCCTTTGACCTAGTAGGTCTACCCCGTTTTTGTCGTGGGGGATCATCATTCATTTTCGCATGTTCTTCAGGAATAGCGATCCTAGCTGGCATATTCACAACTGGAATATAAGACTTCGTGACTTTACTGGAATCGTTAAATGCATCAGAAAGTCTATTGGCAATATTTTGTGAATGAATGATTCTATGGATCTCATTTTCACATTAAAAGGTATGTGGGTCTAGATGAGATAAATGTTGCTCATACCAAGTGAGTTTCTCGATTGGGTTTCGTTTATCATTATCAATGATATTTTTATCTTTACCAATCAATGGAAATACAGTCTCATCAAAATGACAGTCCGCAAATCTAGCAGTAAATAAATCACCCGTCATTGGCTCTAAGAACCTAATAATCGACGGTGAATCAAACCTTACGTATATGCCAAGTCGACGTTGGGGACCCATTTTAGTCCTCTGATGAGGAAGAATTGGCACTTGCACAGCGCAACCAAATGTGCGTAGGTGCGAAATATCGGGCTCGAAGCCGAATGCCAATTGCATTGGGAAATACATATGATAAGCAGTGGGGTGTAATTTAATCAGTGATGATGCATGCAATATTGCATGACCCCATGCTACACTAGTGAGTTTAGATCTCATCATCAATGTACGAGCAACAACTTAAACGCGTTTAATCAGAGATTCCTCCAGTCCATTTTGAGTGTGAACGTATGCTACTAGGTGCTCGACATTTATTCCCAGTGCTGTATGTAAATTCTCCGGAGTTATCCATTGATGGGATAACCAAGAAAATGTGCTGAGAGTTTGATAATTTGTGCTAGCAAACGTGCAAATGCAACATTTCGCGTAGATAATAAGCATGCGTTGGACCATCTACAAGATGCGTCGACCAAAACCATAAAATATCTAAGTTGCCCACTTGCAGGGTGTATTGGTCCACAAATATCACCATGAATATGTTCTAAAAACGATGGGGATTCATAACCGACCTTTTCAATGGAAGGTTTTATAATGAGCTTTCCTTGTGAACTTGGTTCGCAGAAATATTCATTGGACATTAAGATTTTTGTATCTTTTAATGGATGTCCCTTAGTATGTGGTACAATCCTACGCATCATAGTCGTTCCTGGGTGACCCAGTCGATCATGCCATAACCCGTGTATATCGGGATTAAAAATTTTGTAGAGGCATATGATTCGAAAGCTCTAATTTGGAAACGATACATTCCAGAAGCTGTCACTTCGAGTTTTTCATGAACAATTATATTGTCCATAACATATGATATGATGTAGAGACACTCCACGGTATTTTCAACCAGTGTATCGAAATGATATCCATTACGTCTCACATTTGTAAAACTCAGTAGATTCTTATTTGATCTACCTGATATCAATGCATTTTCAATATGCAACGTGATACCATTAGACAACACAATTATTGCGTTCCCGGAGCCATCTATTATTTCCGCGGAACCTGCTAGCTATGGTTTTAACTTGTGCCTTGCACAATGTCACACTCGAGAAATATATCTTATTATTAAATATTGAGTGTGTAGTTGCACTATCGAGTAGACAATTTTCTCTTTTGTCGATGTTCTTCATGTTTGCCTGAATTAAATAACATAAAATTAAAATTGAATCAAAGTATAGTTGGCAAATGATATGATAACAAACTCATAATTTTATACATAATCAAAATATCAGCTCGACCTTGGGAACATAACTTCCAAGGGAGATATGTACATGGATACATCAAAAGACAAAATAGTTCAATCTCCGTTACTACATCAACCGAGAGATATATACAAAATATACTTAGTGAGTACAAAATAACCCAAAAGAGATGTTCATTTGGCAATTTATACAAGAGGCTCAAGATCTGTAAAGAAATCCGATAACTCAAGAGAGGCTCTATCTTGAGCAGGATCATGATCAAGCATGCCCCCAGATGTGCTGGCTTCAAGAACAATAAGTGGCATTGTGCCTCCATGGTATGTGTCTAGACATTTTTTCTATCTCTTTTTGAGTCCTGGTAAAGACTTACCAAGTGTTGGGCAGTTCTGCAAACTTTGACCCAGTGTCCATTCATTCCACATCCAATACACATATTTTCTGGAATTCTTTCCACGGGCATCTTGCCTTTATCGCGTTTCGCTTGAAATGGTTGTCTCTGCCATACCGTATTATTATTTCAACGGGGATATTCATATCCACCTCGGTCATTATTTCAGGCATCTGGAGGGGACCACGTCCACCGCCTCTGCGGGCACCACGCCCGAATCTACGCCCACGGCCTCTAAATCGGCCCATATTTCTATTTTGATTTGCATGTGCTTCATGCATAGCTTGGGACCCACATGGTCGCAAATCATGATATTTCAACAGCAATTGATTTGTTTTTTCACATAAACGTGCCTATTATATAGTTCTTGGACAATACACATAAACGTGCCTATTAGAATCGAGAGCCATTATTGCTATTAAAAGATGTAAAATAAAATTAAAGAGTGATAAACTATTGAAACTCAAAGTTTTTGTAAGAAGAAAAATTATTTGATGAAAGAAGAATTAATTCTTCATCTCATAAGATTACACTTATTGTATACACTCATTTATACAAGTAGTCACTCATTCATATAGGACACGAAGCAAATGAATTGAGTAGTCATCACTTCAAATTCATACATCTATTAACACAATAATTTGCATTGCATGCACTTGAAGGTCACGGTGAAGGGCTCTTGTAGCATGCATGTGTATAGAATTGATTCTATTGGTTGAGTCCACATGTCACAACATTGACAAAATTATACGAAACAAAACAATTCATTACGCAAAAAATATACGGAAGTTTCTAAGAACAAATGTTACAATTTTCGCAAAAAAAAAAATAAAAATAAAAAACAATGTCAATAATAATTATACTAGAAATTTAAACCATCCAATCCACGGACCTCGTTCACCCTCTTCTTCTTTTATATCTCCGTCGTCCGGAGCCTTCGCCTGCCGAGATACCTCTATATCTGGTGCCTCGTATTCTAGTTGTCTTTCTGCATAATACATTAAACAGTCTTTAGTTAGTATTTTATGATAGAAAAAATAAATATTGCCAATAATATGATATAATAATTTATTATTGTGACTATTTTAGTCAAACAAAGTATTTACGTAAATTGCTTTTGAAAATGTAACAAAGACTACCTAGTAATAGTAATATATATAGAAAAAGAATATGATCGTAAATAGAGGGTATATAAAATATATAGACACACACACACACACACAAGGATAACTGCACAAATATTTTTCAAACATATATAGTCTTGTAAAAACTGCTATATATAGATTTGTAAAATCTAACCCATGTTCTATACTTCAGTAACGAGATCATTTCAAAATCCAATTTGTTCAAAAGAAAACTAAAATATTTCGAAATAAAAAATTTAAATGTGATTGAAATATTAAATATTTTAATAGAATGATAATTGCGCAAACAAATATAGTTCAGTAATAAACTATATATAGGGCTGGCTCTAGAAGGATTTGGGCGTTGCTCATATTTTACGAGAGATGCTTACTTATAAATCTGATCATATGAGAGCGCCCCAAGAAGTACGTACTTGGTACTACGATCATTGGAGGAACAATACCTGATCCCGAGGATGCTCCAGAATTGTTTCGATGCTCGTTCGAGAACTACGATCTTTAGCTTTGGCACGCTCATCCATAATGGTATATAGGGCCGGGTTCTTAATAATGAAGAAGTGCAATAACAAAACCATATTTGATAGAACATATAGGAAACTCATGATCCAAAGAGTGATATATATCTATATATATATTCAAAAGCACATCAAAACCATGTATATAGAACATGAAAATATTTTCATAAATGTTTTAATAAAATCCAACAAATAACATATATACTGTTAAATTTCATACAAAAAAAATAGTTAAATCAGGCAAATTATATTAGTTCAAAATATATATATATAATAGAGAGATTGTGAATGAATTAATTACCTCGAATCAGTGCAATAAACCCTAACATAACTGCCTTGTTGAATGTTCAACGTCTCCCTCATGGAAATGATGTTGGGTACATGAGAAACCACTTGCACCGCCATCCTATGCCCATCCTCATCGCGTATATCCTCTGTAATAGGGAATACGCTCTCGCTCCCCGTCACTACATCGTACATAAGGAAATTAGTCCGCCAATCATGCATCAGTATCTTATTATTTTCCACATACATTATCGGTCGGTATGCTCCCCTCGACCAAACCCTCCCACTATTCTCGAGCATCGTGGTCAAAGTCTCGATATGGTAAAGTTTCTTCCAATTAGTCGTTTGTCCTGTACCGTGGGCCCCACCATTGTGATCAACCACCGTCTTACTAGCCGACCACAACTCCACGTGGCTATCATCGGGAGAAACGAACGACACGCAGAGAGTATCGTCCAACACTCCCAAACTAACCGTTTTGAGAACCGGACCCTCGAATTCGGGTAGGTCCACGACCCGGAAGAGGGTTAGGTCGAAATCGAAGGCGCAAATCGAGGGCTCGTTTTTGTACCGCCAGTACATAGTGCCGTCGTCCACGTACATCAAGTCGTAAATCATTCTCGAGAAATCGAGCTGCGGTGCCACACCGGCGCGCCTCCATGACCTGGCACCCAGGGCGAGAAGCTCTGGGTACCAGGTCATGGAGAAGTCGTTCTGGTCGGCCAACCCGATCGTCATTTTCAAGAGCTCGAAAGTGTTGGTGCGGCGGCTGAACCCGAGGCCTACGAAAATTGAAGCCACCTCTCGGTAGCTTTTCCTCCCACGCGCGTTGGTGTTGGCCAAGATGTACTCGCCGGTGATAGGGTTGGAGATGACCACGTCACCTCCACCGCGGCGAGTGGCCCAACAAGTCAAACCCTTACAGGAGGTGACGAGAGGATTGACGCCTTGAAGGAAAGTGCGGCGACCACGGGCCATATCCGGAAACTCGATCCGGGTGGTAAGGTTTCGGGTCCGGGGTTCGAAATCGGATGCGGTCCGGCCCTCGTAGAGGTGGAGGACCCGGTTCGATTTGGATCCCAACGGGTTGCTGAAAACCACCAAAGGACCCGGTTCGATTTGATGTCTACATTTGTCCGTGAGTGTCCATGTGTGCCTGGCGGATGGCAGATAGTGTTTAAACGAGGAGTTAGGGTTTCAAAATGTCTAGAGATGTTTGTGGGTGACTACGGATTACTACGGTTCCTATGGGTGTCTGTAGATGACTATGATCGAAAAAAAATACAAAAAATCATAATTTTGAATATAATATTACGTATAAAAAAAGGAAAAAAAATAGATTTTTATAGGAATGGAAAACAAAATTAGGGGTTATTTAAGAAAACCCCCTCATATGACTTTAATAGTTAGTGTAGATCCAAAAAAGATTCTCCTTTTTGAGATAAATCCCAAGTTTTATTTACCAGCTTTTTTATTACGATCTCTCTATAATACTCTTATGTATTACGTTTTGTATAAGTTCAAGTTATACTTTTTCGATTTGACAAAACATTTAGTTTAATATTAAATTATAATAATTCAATTACACCATGCCCTAAAACTATCTCACGATCTCAATTTTTTTTCTTTGTTTTCTCCATTCACGGGTCCACTCAATTTTTTTTTTTCTCCACTATCGCCCTTGTCTCTTCTGTCCACTACCGTCGTGACCCCTCTTTCCCCCCTCTTTCTCCATCGCTCGCCCATGATCTCTTCGCAGTTATAAAAAAATCCTATACTTTTGCAGTCGGGCGTAGACCTCATCTCCCGTCGGCATATCCAAAATGCGGACAAAGAAATAAAGGAGTTTTGCAAGGAAATACTGCCTTTTTATGTGGTGTCGATAATGTTGAGAGAGGGGGAGTGGAGAGGGAAATACTGCCTTTTTTTCGTATTAAATTTTGTTATTTTTTTAATTGTTTTTTGTCGTGGATTATGTTAATATTTTAATGGATTTCAATATTTGTTGTAGTGGGTTTTGATGATATTGTAGTGGATTTCAAATTCTTGATTTGGAGACCCATTTTTTTTATTGAATTAAATTTAACGTTGTTGTCTTCTTTCTATTTGGTTCAGGTTCTTGCTCAAGCAAAGTGATGACAACAAGTAGGATGATGTTGGGTGATGCTCGGGTGAGTGTACTATTGTCTGCTATGGTGGCATTTATTAAAGGGGATCTTTTGTAGTGGTTTTATGTAAGTTTTTAATGGATTTTGATAAAATTTGAGTGGATTTTCTCTTTGTAAAGTTGATTCTTTGTAGTGAGTTTCTATTTTTTTTTTTTTTTTGTGGCTTTTGATGAGCTTGCAATGGATTTCAGGTTTTTTGTTTTCAAAATGATTTTTTTAAATGAATTTAATTGACACGTTGTCTTCTTTTTCTGTGTTTTAAGTTTTTGAGCAGGCTGGGCGATGACGATGGCAACAAGGGTGAATAGGTTAGGTGATGCTCGGATAATTATACTATTGTTAGTCGTGGCGACATTTGTTGGTGCTTTTTATTTATTTTTTATTTTTTTTATAAATAAAACAGAGTAATAGTAGTTTTGTGAATTTAATAGTGTATTACGTTGATTTTATAGCAAATTATTTTAATTTTATAGCATATTACGTTAATTGCATAGTGGATTTAATTAAGTTTGTAGTGGATTTCATTTTGGTATAATCCATTTTTTTAGAATCAAAATAAAACAAATTATTTGAAAAATAATCGGAAAAAAACTGAAAAAATAAATAAAACCTAAAAACCAACACCATTGGGGCAATTTAGGTATTCTGCTACAGCAGGCTCAAAAATGCGATTAAAAACTGAATTTATCCCTCTTAGAAAATTGAATGAGGGGGTTATCTCAAATAGCCCCAAAAAACAAAAGGACAAACGTATTCTACGTAAAAAAATAAAATAACAAAAATGCTAGATGCAAAACTAAAAATGTTAAATAATACCATATTATAGTATACAATAGTACCATAATTAGGGGTGTGAACGAGCCGAGCTAGCCTCTTTTGGCACGCTCGAACTCGAGCTCAAGTCTACTTTGTGGAGCTCAAACTCGTCGAGCTTCTTCTTTTTTGGCTCGACCTCGAGCTCGTGTCCATTTTGCCGAGCTCGAGCCCAAGCTCATTTTGTTGTTTTTCTTTTTCTTTTTTTATATAAAAAATATTTTTTAATTATTATTTTATTATTATTAGTAAAAATTATTTATAAACAATTACAAAATAAATAATAGTACTTATATATATTTTTAATATTTATATTTTATTTTTATTTATTTCTATAATACTTTATATTATTATACATGATTTCAATAAAAAATAATATATGAAAAATAATTAAAAATAAAAATAATAAATAAGGCTTGAGAGCAGCCCGCTCATGAGCTCACGAACAACTGAAAACTGGCTCGAGCTCGAAATACTCGAGTTCGAATTCGAGCCGGCTCATCGAGCTCAGGAGTTAACTCGACTCGTTTACCACCCCTAGCTGTAACTTCGAATTTGTGAATGGAAGGGCATTTTTTTAATGAATTTAATAAAGGATGTAAAACGAATTTTAGTTAGGCTTGTCATTTAGTTCTAATAACTTTTGTCGCCAGGAACTTATATCTTAAGCCCCCCTCCCCCCCTATATTTATATACTAATATATTATAAAAATTAACGAATAATAAAAATAACTTCGATATTTTCGTCTTCAAACATATATAAAATTCCACATTATATAAATAACGGCAAATGGCAAATAGACCCATGACAATGGACTTAAATGCACATAGGTCTAAACAAAAAAGGGTCTTGCAAACAAACCCATCCTATGTCTTTTGTCTAAAATACCCCTTATAATATAAATTTCATTATTTCTATCCATTGCACTTCAACTTCATCAATATTGCACATTGACCCCGGATTTGAACAAATATATCATATTAACCCCCATTTTCATAATGTTTTGAATAATTTTTTTTTTCGAAATTTGTTTTTTGATATTTTTCTTTTCCGTTGAGATTCCGGCTTTGACCGCTTGGATCTCCGACTTTGACCTCTTTTTTTTCAAACTTTTTCTCTCTCTCTCTCTCTCTCTCTCTCTCTCTCTCTCTCTCTCTCTCTCTCCCTCTAAATTACTGTGTTAACAACAAAATTATTGTTAAGACAGTAATATTGAATGTCAACAATATTATCACTAATATTACTGTCCCAAACAACAATCTTACTAATATTACTATCCCCAACAGTAATATTAATGCATGAGACAGTAATATTACAGTCAAAGACAGCAAAATTGCAGGCCAAGACGATAAAATTAATTAGTACAGTAAAATTATTGTCTTTGAAACAGTAATATTGTAGTCCAAAACAATAATATTAATGAAAATAACTTTTTTTTTTTGAAAAAAAAGGCTTGCAGAAACGAAAAAGAAAAAGAAAAAGTCATAGACGGCTGATCTGCCGAGAGAAGAAATTCAAATAAAAAAAAACAAATTGGGGTTAAAATCGTAAATCATGAAATCGGAGTTGAATTAGGGTTTCAATGAGTTGGGGGTAATTTTGGTATGTATGGAAAATTTCTTTATTTGTAAATAAATTTGAATGAGACAAAAAAGTTGGATGTCCTTTTTTAATTAAGTGATCTTGTCATTGGCATATTTACCCTTTAACTTATAAATACTTACTCTTGTTTGAGATCCTAGTGCTAGAAATTTTTTTGTTTCAAATTACAAGTTGCGTTTGATGTTACCAAATACACCTTGCATGTTTTTATGTGCAATATATTGAAGTACATAGATTACATTGACTGGCATGCTGGGCAATTTTTTTAAATGATTCAATAGTTGATTCGATAAAGGGGAAAAGAAAAGTAAACGAATCATCGAACTCTTCAAAAAGAGGAAAGCAACAATCGAATCAAGCCGAATATGTTCGCACGAAAGCACAAAACAATGTGGAAGAGCCAACAAATGGAGATAATAAATCACCCCTTCATTGTAGATGTAATCGTCTTGCATTATGTGGTTGTAATTTGCATTTTGCTGTTGTAATTTGCATTACGCTGCTATAATTTGCGTTATGGTTTTTCTAGTTTTTTGTTGGTCTTCCTGATTAGACGCGTCTTGCGATTCCCTATTGTAATCGCAAAATTTGTTTTGTTTATACATTCTACAAACATAATTTTGCCTTAATAAATATTAAAAATTGATGTTTGTTGTTTGATATGTGCATTATAAAATGACGTTTTGTTGTTTGAAGTTTGCTATTTACTGAACAGAGATTAACAGTAAGCAAGTATAAAAAAAAAACCTAAAATAACAAATAAAACAACAAAAAGTTTAAAATTTACTGAAGCAAAAATCACATCATATACACAAACTGCAAAATTAAAAAGCAAAGGGAACATAATACCATGGCGGCAACAAAAAATAAAAACATAATTGTAAAGTGTAAAAATATTGTCTTCTAGAAACAATATATGCTCAAAAAAGAAAATAATAAAAGAAAAAAAAACAAAAGACGGGCATGAGGGAGAGGAGATGGCGAGAGAACGAGAGATAGATATTATAAGAGCGGTAGAGTGAAATGTGGGATTTGTTTTTATTTTCTATAACTAACTATTTCCATATTAATATTAATTGAGGGTATTTATATCTCTATACCAATAATTTAATTTAATTTATACTACTTTTATTGGTTAAGGGACTTATACCTATAATCATCTTAGAAAATGGATCCCCATCCACATAAGTTCCAAATAGGGTGTCCATTCAATTATCCTCATTTTATTATTTTTATTTGTAATCTTCAATTAAAAATATTTTTTATATAAAACTAAATTATTAAAAATAATAGTAGCATAATACAAGGCAATAAATTGTATATACATATAGCTAGGCGTTATGATTTACAAGAACATATAGTTCTTGGACAATACACATAAACGTTCATATTAG